TAAACACAGAATAGACAGCGAGCTGACTGTGTGTGTACTCGTTGAATATTGCAAAAAGTGCATTGGATAGGAATTGTGTACCGCACCTTTAAAGATGATCTGGCAGAAAACTAAGCAAGACGGACTATTAGGTAAAGGACAGATGAACTATTAACTTACTGAAATCATGACCTTTACTGTTGTGCAGGTTCTCCCGCACTTCTGGGTTTCTGGCATTGTTTGTTGTAACCGATTTATGAACTGGTTTGTATTTCCAGATGCTGTTTTTCAGATATCACTTGAAAACTAACAAAAGACCCAATTGTTCCAGCTACTGTTCTTGTTCCAATAAACCTTTACATTATGAGTGGAAAACACATTTATCCAGCCTGAAAAGAAGAAATAATCACTAATTTTCCTGCATAATACTGGAATTCAATTGGCCTTATATATGCTGGTTAAATTCTGGTTTACAAGCTCAATGTGTTTTTTGGGTATCCCCCTTTTTCTTTTTTGGTCACAGTGGTGAATAACAGCACAACAGAACTATCAGATCTGCGAAGCCTTAATACTGGTGTTTCCCCTTTTTTTTGTCCATCTGTGCACATTATTTGTCCTGCTTTTATTTGGTGTGTATTACTTCTAGGCTGCACGCGTGTGTGCATATGTTAGCGCTAACGCTGATCGCATTTGCATAACTCAGTGTGACAATTTGACGCTGGCCTCAAAATATCCTTTCGGTATCCTGCATGTAATTGGTATTCGCACAGTAGCTCCAGTGTAATAACTGTGATTATACAGTATCACTAGTGGAGACTCTCCGATGCAGAACCCATCAACATTGCAAAAAACCAGTCATGCTTGTTATAAAGTGCCTTTCACTTGAATGTCTCTACTCCAATTTATTCTTACATTTCAGGCAACCAAAAAATATCTGCACTCTGCCTTAGCTTGTGAAACCTTATGACATTATTTCTAGCCTGCATGTTGATTTGTGAAGTCGAGCTCAGCTGCACACACCTAAAAGCTGGTGTGTGTTTCTTGCAATTCACTTGGCTATTAGCTTATTATTTTAATCATATACATTATTATTATTATGACACGCTGTCAGTGTATTGTTTTTGCAGCATTAGTAATTATTTTAAATCACTTTAACCATACCTAAGTTGCCGTAGGAAATAATAATGATGCTAAAAGGTGCATTTGGAGAATCAGAAAAAAATTGGCACTGAGTACAAGAGCTCCTTGTGTTCCAAAGTACATGTTCATCGTTATATTACAAATGATTCGTGACTCCAGCAGCATAAAACACAATGACTCTTCTCTGAACAGGAGTCACAGTCTGCAGCCAGACTAGCAGCTTTGTGAGACTGCTTTGAACTAATTGCTAAAATCTTCATGGTCATATGTTAATAAAAATATTGGCAAAGTGCTTCTATTCAGCTGCTGTAATGTTTATGACGATCACATTTGAGAATAAGATATGAATGTTTTTAGTTTTGTAAGCATCCAGTCTATCAACCAAAGCAGTGAACAAATAAAAATGTGAACTTGATGATTGCACAGGAGGAAAAGCTAAGAGTTCACCAAAGTGATTATAATGCACCCTGTGTGAAACATGAATATATGTTGCATATATAATTCAAAATGGCATTTCATTTAAAACCACATCCTTATGTTGCGGCAGATGAAAAGTCAGGGCGTCGCCTCA